CACTGCGGCCGAACCAGAGGTCATAGGACAATATAAATTCCATAATCGGACTCAGCATTAAATGAACTTTCATATCCAACCAAAAAATCCCGATTGCCAGCATAGCCAGATCCTGACAATCTTCTTTATATTATAAAGTAATAGTAGAGTATAGTACAGTACTATACAGTACATTCTGTACTAATTTTACTCACCTGTTCTCTCTCTCTCTCTCTCTCTTTCTCTCTCTCTCTCTCCACAAATTCATTCACTCTAACAGCAAACACTTAGATAATCTCTGAGGTAATGTGTATTCTTTCTTTTGAAATATAAATTTACTTTTAATTTGTTGATAATAAAAACAATTCGTTATAACCGATAAGAATTATTTCAAATAACAAACGATTAAATTGAAATTTGTATTAAGTTATTGCATAAGATTATAGCTTAATGTTTATACTTTTAATATCGGTGTTAACACCAATATTTCGAAGATCATTAACATACTGTACAAGTCATGTTCAATTCATAGAATCTTATTAACTAACTTTTTATTTATTAAACAATTAATTTAACTGTAGTTATTTTATTATAAAATACTTAAATATTATTTTTAATAAAAATTTACTTAATACTTGACTGCAATTTTATTTGATTTTATTTATTCGGTGTCCAAATCAATGTCGCTTTAATGTATAATATTAATATATAAATGTTATAAATAATTTATTTATATAGTCCCATTATTTTAGGAATCTTTGATTTAATATTTAGAGATACTTTAAGACATAAAAATGAGACACTGATGTGATCTGATATTTGTCGTCTCGTCTGAATTTGTTTTGAAACAAATATCATATATCACATCACGGGTTAATCCAATTTCACACAATCTTCAATTTTTTTTGTATCACAAGAATAATGAACTTAATTATTTACACATATATTTAGTTATTATGCATTAAACTTTAAAAAATACTTTATCTGACTTTATATCTTACACATTAAGTTAATATTAAAACCAATATTATGAACTATCTATTCAATAAATTAGTTTTCTTTTATAAATACAACACAAAAATGTGTGAATTTCAATGAATTCTAATATATTGATAGACTAGTACTGAAACTTTTATCACTAAGAACCCGAAGCAGACATCCCTTAGTTTGCAGTTTTATAATCAGAGTCCGGAATCAAACCCAAGGCTGGACTGACACGTCTTCCATTCAAATATCTTTTTTGAGAACATTTTTTGGCTTCAATTCTGTTAAGAATACTGTCATCACATGTCTTAGTGTCTCAAGAATTCATTATTATTTACGTAAGAAAATCGGATGATTGATAAGAAATCGTCCGCTTTTTGTCTCTCAAACACAACTGAAGTCTAATTTAAATATTTATTCAAAGTCAAATATCAAAAACAAAATTTGTTTACCTTACTTTTAAACAATTTAATAATTTTTGCTGAATTTACAATAAAAATTACGATTAGAAGTAAAATGAAAACATGTTTTTAGAAATTGTTTGTAAACAAAAAATATTTACAACCTTTTAGCAGTAATATTTTTAATAAATCAAACTGCAATAGTCAGCAATTGAATCTCCAAGAAAATAATACATAACATTTAATAAGTATATGACTGATATAATTTTTTGATAAGGGGTTTAGAAAATAATTTTCTTATTGCAAAACATTAATATAATACTTGTACTAATATTTGTAATAAAATCCTATTTTTATGAAAATAACAGGAATTGTGAGTTCTTAATCATAATTCACAAATGTATCTTATTTATGATTTTAATCATATGAAATATTCATATTTATATCCCTTTCCGGCACTCAATTGTTCTAGTAACAATAAGGATTGCATAAAATTCTCAAAATGTATGCAATAATTCTTATCATAACATTATTTGATGTTTTGTTTCACGAACTCAATCATTAGTCACAGGTATTGTTAAACATTACGTAAATTCAGTGCTAATGATAACAGTATTTATTACTAATTTGAGTGTAAACTAAGATATCGGCAAAAGTCGTCATATCATCACAGAGTAGGCATAGGCTAAGACACACCAATCATGTGAAGCGAAATGATGAGATGTCTGTCACACTAAGTTTTTATCACATTTCTATTTTGTATATAAATCACACATTTCCTATGGATTTCAGTCACAGTTGCAAAGTGTTTAAATTGAAACTTTTCAAACTTTTCAAACTTTTCAAACTCAATATTCAATCCATTCATTTGGAGTGAATCACCGGATTTGGAGAAAACATGCCATCAATAGGTCGAGTGGTTCTGCCTTTTGGTACTCAGGGCTCACACTCTGTCAATGAGTCAACTAAAGAGGTCATGGATTCCAGCTGTAGTCCAGTTCTTCACACGTCTGACAATTCGGACGATTCTGACAACGACTTCACGGCCCCGGACTCGCAATTCATCGACCGAGTAGTAGCTCAGGTGGAGTTCTACTTCTCCGATGAAAACCTCATAAAAGATGAATTCATTTTGAAACACATCCGTCGAAACAAAGACGGATTCATTAGTTTGAAACTCTTGTCTTCGTTCAGAAAAGTCAAAGTGATTACAAAGAACTGCAAACTAGTGGCCCATTGCGTGAAAGTTGGCTCCAAGAAGTTGGAACTGAATGACACGGAAACCAAAATCCGTCGCAAAACGCCTCTTCCCGCACTTGAAGGCGACAAACACTCGCGAACTATCATCGCTTACAACATCCCTATGGGAACCGATAACATCGATAGCATATCCAAAGAGTTCTCTCCATTCGGAGACATAGCGCTAATTCGTATACTGAAGAGCGGTTCGCCTGCTTCCTCGTCAGTCATTGCCGTAAATCAATTGAAAGCCATCTCTAATAAATGCGATTTAAACAAGACTTCTGTGGCGACCATTGAATACAATAATAAGTCTGATGCCGAAGAAGCGCTCAAACGAATGCAACAGAAGAGTAGTAATGACTGGAGAAAAGGCATTGAAGTGATGGCTATGAAGAACACATCACAAGTTCACGACAGGAATCCTCTCAAGAATAATGAGACAGAAAACTCTAATCAAAGAAAATCATACGAAAAGCAAACTAATTTCAAAAGACCGCTCATTCAGAGACAAAAGTCAAAGAGTTATTCTTCGGGAGATGAAAGAAAATTCTTAGAAAATGTTTTTAAGAAACCAGTTGTTGTTAAAAAGGACGACACAAACAGAATGCAAACAATTAATTGTTTAAGACTTCCGGCAAATGTAGTGCGAATGCCGAGAGGACCGGACGGAACAAATGGATTCACTGCTAACCGCAGTCATCGGGCAAATTCTGGGCCATAAATTCATTTCATAATTAGCTCACATTTGTATATAAATTTCATAATTTAATTACTTTTGTATTCAACTTTCAAAATATTCATATAATAAACAAATTCATTAAATTAATCGCTTGTATTAATTGGCGAAACACTGCTATTGATATTGGGTTCTAAGGGTTGTGTTGAACCCGTGTTATCCATATTGACAACACATTTACTATCATTTTCTAACCTTTTATTCCTTCGTTTAAGTGATTTCTTGTCTGAAAATAGAAAATAGGATTCAATTAACAGACAAATCAACAAAACTGATCATCACTTCAATACTCACGAGGTTTTGGTTTGAGTTGGAGTTTCTTGTGATTCTTCAAGTGCTGTTGTCTTTCATCGAGAAATATAAAATCGATGTCTTCTTTGGTAATGTTTGTGTCGTTTTTGAGTAACTGAAAGAAAACTCCTCCAGAAGTGCGGCGTCTTTTGCCGTCGACTGTCATGAGTCCACCCGAAGACTCGACGTCAAGAGTGGCCGAACACAACTCAGATGTCTTCTGCTGTCCAATGCGTTCGCAAAACGGGCAAATTCTGGGCCATAAATTCATTTCATAATTAGCTCACATTTGTATATAAATTTCATAATTTAATTACTTTTGTATTCAACTTTCAAAATATTCATATAATAAACAAATTCATTAAATTAATGGCTTGTATTAATTGGCGAAACATTGCTATTGATATTGGGTTCTAAGGGTTGTGTTGAACCCGCGTTATCCGTATTGACAACACATTTACTATCATTTTCTAACCTTTTATTCCTTCGTTTAAGTGATTTCTTGTCTGAAAATGGAAAATAGGATTCAATTAACAGACAAATCAACAAAACTGATCATCACTTCAATACTCACGAGGTTTTGGTTTGAGTTTGAGTTTCTTGTGATTCTTGAAGTGCTGTTGTCTTTCGTCGAGAAATATAAAATCAATGTCTTCTTTGGTAACGTTTGTGTCGTTTTTGAGTAATTGAAAGAAAACTCCTCCAGAAGTGCGGCGTCTTTTGCCGTCGACTGTCATGAGTCCACCCGAAGACTCGACGTCAAGAGTGGCCGAACACAACTCAGATGTCTTCTGCTGTCCAATGCGTTCGCAAACCCTTTCTATAGATAATACAAATTAGTTATTCATATGAGAGTCAAGTGATGGACGCGCGAAGAACTCACTCAAGAGATGCACTTTTGGTTCCTTCAGTTTATAAGCGATTTGTGACACAAAATCTCTGTCGTTTTTCCTCTGATTCTTGTTTCTCGTCTTTCGTGTCTTCTTCTCATTCTTCGGCTTATTGTCAGAAATGTGTGACTTTTGTGTCAACTGTTGGTCACAATTGTCTTCTAACTGTCTTTTAGTCCAAAACGAATAGTTCTCTGATTTGCGATCAAATTGTGTGATTGAATCCATTTGACTCTTCTTAATGTCCATTGAATTACTCACTGAATGATTGAGTTCTTCCTCCAGAAGAATATCAGACCAAAGACTGAATCGCTTTTGTCTTTTAGTGTCCCTTTGATCCACAATTTCCAGTGATTTCGACACTTTTAAAACGTTTGTGTCAATCATTTGGTGACAACCCTTGCCATCATTGGCGGTCACCTCTTCCTCCTCATCGTTGAGCTCTCCATCTTCTGAAGACTCATCCGAAGAGTTGTTAGTGAGGAAAGTGTGGAAATGATTGACTGATGGATTCATTTGTGGTGATGTCGTGAAGACGTGCTCACAATCACAACAAACGTATGCATTGAATGTGTGTTGCAGTCAATAGTATCCGAAGAGTTGTTAGTGAGGAAAGTGTGGAACCGATTGACTGATGGATTCATTTGTGGTGATGTCGTGAAGACGTGCTCACAATCACAACAAACGTATGCATTGAATGTGTGTTGCAGTCAATAGTGGTCACTACGAGTCACACGTTATGTGCTGACAATCCCTTTAAAGTTTAAACTCCAAACACATTGCAGTGGACTGTAAGATGGGAAAGGGTAGACCGGTCTACCAAACTCAATGGACCTGTCTCATTCTCACTATACAGTATTATGTAACCAATAGGCGCCTCCCAGTCGCCTCCACCCCAACCCACACACTGTTTTGTTTACTAATAATCAGTTTGCAAATTGTTATAAAAGTTTTATAATATTTGAAAAGTGATGGAAAGGCATAGATTTGCATTGAATAGAGATAATAGTATTACTGTAATAATTAGAGCTATATTTTACTGGTTAACTCATTAATTATAGTGTATTGAAAGTAATCAAAACTTTGTTCACATCCCAATCATAGACCACTACTTTATATAATTGACTGCAACTGTAAACAGTGTAAGTCTACTAAACATTGTAAACTAAATTGATTTGATGACAAAATTGTTGTCTATTGTATTGAATCATTGATTTTGTGCACAAATACAATTAGATTGAAAACTAATGGCAACTAAAAGTTTGTTTAAGAAATCGAAAAAAACTAAACCAAAGATAATTGATTTGACTGAAAATGAAGACAATAATAGAAGTGTTGTCCAAAGCGCTGAAGATCTGGAAAACAGACCTTTAATAAGTGCCAACGAATTTAATAATGATGGTAAATTTTACTATATACTTATAACTTATGTTTCACTAAAAGTTTATTTTCCAAAACCTTAATAGTATTTCTTAATATAATTGAATATGAATAGACTGTAACAGTAATATTTCATTCAAATTATTGCTAAATATATGGTAATTATAATAATTATCAAATTTTATTTGATTATAAATTCATATTAACTTTTAAATGTTATAAAGGATGCAAATGTCAACAATTTTCTATATATTACCGGTATTTAGAAACAAGTCGGGAAACTATCGTAAACATGAATCCTTCGGCGCCTCCTGAAGAAGAATACCGACCG